TTTTATATTATTTTTATTTTATTATTTTATTTTATTTTAGCAATTGTGAATGGGAACATTTCCCTGTATTCTTTCTCCAATTGCTTGTTATTGATATGTATAAAGGCTACTAATTTTTATAGATTTATTTTATAACCTGTCACTTTACTGAAAGTGTTGATCTGTTCTAGGAGTTTTCTGGTCAAACTTTTGGGGACCTCTTAGGTATAGTATCATATCATCTGCAAAAAAGTGATAGTTTGACCTCTTCTTTTCCAACTAGTACTCCTTTAATTTCCTTCTACTGTCTTATTGCTCTAGCAAGAGTTTCAAGCACTATATTGAAAAGGAGTGGAGATAGTGGACATCCTTGTCTGCTTCCTGATTTTAATGGGACTGCTTCCAGTTTTTCTCCACTTAGAATGATGTTGGCTGTGGGTTTCTTGTATATAGCTTTAATTACGTTGAGGTACATTCCCTCCAGTCCAATTTCCTCTAGGACTTTGAACATAAATGCATGCTGAATTTTGTCAAAAGCCACTTCTGCATCTGTTGAGATGATTATGTGTTTTTTGCCTTTGAGTCCATTTATATGATTAATGATGTTTATTGACTTGTGTATATTGGACCAGCCCTGCATCTCTGGAATGAACCTTACTTGGTCATGGTGAATGATCTTTTTGATATGTGTCTGTGTGATGTTTGCAAGTATTTTGTTGTGAATTTTTGCATCTATATTCATTAAGGATATGGTCTATAGTTTTCTTTTTTGGTTGTGTCTTTACCCAGTTTAGGTATTAGAGTGATGCTGGCTTTCTAGATGGAATTTGGGAGTTCTTGCTCTGTTTCTATCATTTTGAATAATTTAAGTAGTATTGGTTGGAGGTCTTTTTTAAATGTCTGGTAGAATTCTGCTGTAAATCCATCTGGGTGTGGGCCTTTTTTTAGTTGGGAGGCTTTGTGTTACTGTTTCAATTTCCTTATATGTCATGGGTCTGTTTGAACTGTTGATCTCTTCTTGGTGTAACTTTGGTGGTTCCCATGATTTTAGATATCCATCCATTTCTTTCAGATTTCCAAATTTACTAGTGTATGGGTTTTTAATATTTCCTTTTAATTGTCTGTATTTTTTGGGTGTCTGTTGTGATGTTTCCCCTTTCATCTCTGATTTTGTTAATTTGTATTTGTTCTTTCTGTCTTTTAGTTAAGTGGGCTAAAGGTCTGTCTATCTTGTTTAGCTTTTCAAAGAACCGGGTCTTAGATTCATTGATTCTTTGTATTGTTTTCTTTGTTTTGATTTCATTAATTTCTGCTCTGATTTTTGTTTTTTCTTCTCTTCTGTGGGTTTCGGGTTTCATTTGTTCTTGCCTTTCCAGCATCTTGAATTGCAGTGTTAGGTCATTTATTTGGGCTCTTTCTAATTTTTTTCATGTAGGCCCTTAGATCTATAACTTCCCACATAGGACTGTTTGAGTTGTGTTGTATTGTCCCTGTTATTGAATTCCATGAATTCTTTTATTTCTTTCTTAATTTCTCCTTTGACCCACTCATTGTTTAGGGGTGTGTTGTTTAATCTCCATCAGTTTGTGTAGTGACTAGGGCTTCATTCCGTGTTGGTTTTGAGCTTTATTGCATTGTATTCCAATAGAATACATGGAATTATTTCAGCTTTTTGAATTTGCTGAGGTTTGTTTTGTGACCAGTTTTTGAAAAAGTTCTGTGGGGTGCTGAGTAGAAAGTGTGTTCTTTGGTGCTTGGGTGGAATGTTCGACAGATGTCTGTTAGGTCCACTTGATGTATGGTATCATTTAATTCAGATGTCTTTCTGTTTATTCTTTGTCCACTTGACCTGTCTAATTTAGACAGTAGGGTATTGAACTCCCCTACTATTACTGAGTTGGAGTTAATCTGTGTCTTAAAGTCCTATAGTTTTGTTTTTATGAATTTGGGTGCACCAGAGTTTGGTACATGTATGTTAAGGATTATAAAGTCTTCTTGGTAAATTGTTCCCTTGATCAAAATGAAGTGACCCTCCTTATCTCTTCTGATTAGTTTTACTTTGAAGTCTATTTTGTCAGATATTAGAATTGCAACCCCTGCTTGTTTCTTAGTGCCATTGGCTTGAAATATTCTTTTCCATCCATTTACCTTAAGGTAGTGCCTGTCCTTGAATGTGGGATGGGTTTCTTACAGACAGCAAAGAGATGGATTTTGTTTCTTAGTCCATTCACATAGCCTGTGTCTTTTGACTGGGGAGTTCAGTCCATTGATATTTAAAGTTATTATTGATAGATGTGTACTCTTGCCATCATTTTGATTGCTGTTTGTGTTCTCTATCTAATTTTGTGTTTCCTCAATTATACCTTTATTTTCTTTGTTGTCCAGGGTATAGTTTTTCTCTCTCTGCTCTCTGTATTGTTTCAAGTATTCTTTGAGGGGTTGGTTTTGTGGACACGTAGTCTTTCAGTCTATTCATGTCATGGAAGATTTTTCTTTTGCCCTCAACTATAATAGACATTTTTGCTGGGTAAAGTATTCTGGAGCAGCATCTATTGCCATGAAGAACTTGAAATGCCTTGGTCCAGGCTCTTCTGGCTTTCATAATTTGCATTCATAAGTCAGCTGTAATTCTGATGGGCTTTCATTTGTATGTAACATTTTTTTCTTTTGATGCTTTCAGTATTCTCTCTTTGTTCTGTACATTTAATGTTTTTACTATGATGTGTCATTGGGAGTTTCTTTTCTGATCCTGTCTATTTGGTGTTCTATGTGCTTCCTGTATTTGTATGGGGATGTCTTTCCTTAATTTCAGGAAATTCTCTTCTACAATCCTGTTTTAATCCTTGATTGAGTGGTCCAATTCTTCAACTTTATCATCCAGTGTTGATATTCTGTTTTCCATTTCATTCATTCTAGAGATGAGGCTTTCCCCTGTTGTTTCAAGTTGGCTTATTGAGTTTTGCACTTCCTTCTTCATTTCTGCCTGAGTTTTCTTCAATGTTTCTGTCTCTTTTGTGAATTCATTCAGAAGTTTATCCCTATCTTCTTTTAGCTCTTTGATTTGTTTGTTCATATGTTCTTTAAATTCATTGAATTCCTTGTTTATGTTTATGACTGTCCTTTTTAATTCAGTGTCCTGGGTTATCTCTAGGGCGTTCTCCTTCTATAACTCTTCTACAGGATTGGTGGAGTTTGGTGGGGATATAGTGGTTTGGCTTTTTATTATTGTTTCATTGTGATTTTGGCATGTGAATTTCTTTTGTTGTTTATGATTCTGATATGAGAATTAAGTTGAAGTATACTTCTGTTTGTATTATTGGGGTGCATCGGTCCTTTCCTTATTGGTTATGTAAAGCTACTGGTACAGGTTTCAGGTTCTCTCAGGTTTTATTTTGGAGGGAACTGATGGCTTAAGATCAGCTATTCAGGAGCACCCACAGAAGCCCAAGTTAGGTTCCAGTTAGGTACACTCAGGCTTCCTTCTAAGGTTTGGACCCCTATTAGCAGAAACTCAGGGAAAATTTGGGAAATTCCCTGGCCGGGGGGCGGTGATTTTGGGACTCTCAGTTGGTTGCCTGTTTCTCAGTCCCTATGCCAGAGGGAGGCCAGAACCCAGCACTCTCTGGCTATGTGCTGAGATCATACCCTCTACACAGATGGAAGTCAGAGCCCACCCTCTCAGGTTGTATGTGAGGATCTCAGCCTTAGCCTACCAAAGCCAGGTAATCCCTGGGGCTTTGGGAGGGGCCACATGAAATCCCAGGTAGGGGGATGGGTATGGCACAATTAAGGGACACTCACCACCATGTGGTGGAAGGATCTGCATGCTCTCAGACAGTCCCCTCTGTTCTCAGCCCCTTTGTAAGAAGGAGGCCAGAACCCAGCACTCTCTGGCAGTGTGCTGAAATCCTCAAAGTTTTCTTTCATCTAATAATATACTTTTATATGTCCAACAGGCACATGGGTGGTTCAGCACCACCAGACAACAGCTGGAAAGGAGATCTTAAAGTACCCTACAATGTGGGACCTGGCTTTACTGGAAACTTTTCTACACAGTTAAGATGCTATTTTAATTCTTTTATGCAGAATGCTTTAAAAGAAAAAAAACAATTTTAGTGAATGACAAAATGTAAAATCTATTCATTACCACCAGGAAATCAAGCTAGAGGTTGAAGAGGTCTAGATCATTAAAACCAGTCAATGTAATTTCGTCTCTGTGTGCAATTAGAAATGTTTTAAATAATGGTCAACTATTTAAATTTTAGGGGTTAAATCTGTTAATCAGTACTTCAAAGACTGTTTTTTGTCTTTGGATTAGGAAAGTCAAGCTGCACATCCACTCCAACAATAAAGTGACAAGAATTTATAATGTGATTGGAACTCTCAGAGGAGCTGTGGAGCCAGGTAAATGAGGCATTTGCTCAGCAAATGTGGATGGAGCAACTCCCGCATCAGTGCTGCTGGGAATGCTGGGAGTGTAAACCCAACAAAGAAAGACAGCTTGCTGCCCAATGAAACTGACCTAAACACAAAATAAAAAATGTGAGGTGATATTGCATGGTCATACACGTTATGAAGAAGAGAAATGTGAATGTTTGGGATGAACTTAAAATGATAAATTGCATACGTCATTGAAAGGATCAAGAGAAAATGAGCTGTGAGAGAATCCTAAAGGGATTTTCTGAGATTTTGTATTTCTTTACCTTATATTTCACATAAGAAAATAACTTTGAGGGCCATAAATGTATCTATCAAAGAGAGCAAAGAAAATGAAGGTAACATTATAGATGGGGGAGGTGCTCTCCAGGCCCCAACGCTTAATGAGGAGCTATTGGCAGTCAATAGCTGTTTGGAAGGGAGGACCATTCTTTTTTTTTAGTTTAGGTTTCCCATGCTCCAGTGAATGGCCCCACATTCATGTACATATGGGCAACACTAATTTGACTTAGTGAGGTATCCATAAACAACAACAACAAAAGGCATGAAGTTGTGAGACATGTTGGGGGTGATATGGGGTAGTGTATACTGTTTACTGAGACATCTCTCCAGCCCTTAAAAAATGGCTTCTTTATATAGCTTTGTTTTCATCGCTAAAGTCAAGAATATAAGGACACATGATTTCTACAGAATTATACATGGCCTAGTAATTAATATATATTTCACATAACTTATATAAGGTTTTACTAGATTTTCATTCCTTAGGATTTAGGTTTTCTTTTAAAGCAAAAAGTTTCAATTAAATTGTGTATTTTTCTTTAAGACATATGCTTTGCTTGTTTATGTTTTGTAGACACAGGATCTTAAGTAGCAAGGTTGACCTTTGACTTGACTCCATGTTACCAAAGATGACTTTAAACTCTTTATTCTTCTGTCTCTACCTCCCAAATGCTGAGATTACAGGTTTGCTGCTCTAGGTTGGGTACTGATACATGCTTTATTTATAAACTAAGACTATAGGAATATGAGCACAGTTATTGAATCTAAATTGCAGACATTGTGATGAACACTAGAGATAGAAGTATTGGGAAAAACACAGACCAGAGATAAGGAGATCATGGTTTAAGACATTTATTTGTGATTAATACCTCTTCAGTATGAAAAGGTTTCTGAAAACTGTGTGGACAGAGTCATTCCCTCTTCCTGTAGAAGGCAGAGAAGTTCATAGAAAATTCTTAAAAATCAACTAATTAATTTTTACTTTATGTGTATGGATGTTTTGCCTGCATGTATGTAAGTGCACCCATGTGGGCAATGCCCGTGCAGATTAAAAGGAGGCATTTGATCCCATGGAATTGGATTACAGATGCTTGTTAGCCACCATGTGGGTGCTGAGAACCTAACCTGGGTCTTCTACAAGAGCAGCCAGTGCTCTTAACCACTGAGCCATCTCCCTAGTCCCATAGAAGGTATTTGAGCCTTGCTTTGAAAACCGAATGGGAATAATAAATGGAGAGCTACATACTTTCACTCTGAAAATGTTGGACACAAAGAGGTAAGAGAGTGATAATAGAGAATCATAAAGAGGTTACTTCATACTTTCCTATGTTACCTATATATATATATTTAATTTCAATAATACATTGAATTAATGGTTCCTTCATCAAATTCATACTTTCATCAGATAGATGAAACAAACATTAAAACCTGAGCAAAATAACCTATTTACCTAAGCTTTCAGAAATCTTGCTATTTTTCTTTGAGTTTTAAATGTTCCTTGTTTAGATGCTGTTGAATCATTTTCAATTTGCTCTGATGTTGACCTCAAATAACAAGTCATCTTACTGTGTTGCTCTGCAGACAGATATGTCATTCTTGGAGGTCACAGAGATGCATGGGTATTTGGTGGCATTGACCCTCAGAGTGGAGCAGCCACTGTCCATGAAATTGTGAGGAGCTTTGGAGTGCTGAAGAAGGAAGGTAAGAGAAGCAGGGAGTGAAGGATCCTGTTCTGCGAGCCTCAGTTTAGTCTTCTGCAAAATGAGACTGGAAAGACTATGTCTTAATTGAAAATCTGAGATAAATCCATAGTCCTTGGTTTCTCTGTGCAAGATGATAGAGGACTCACTAGAATCTGCAGTAAGCCAAGGGTTTCTGGGAAGAGAACAGGAAGCAGACATTCCTGGACTCCTCCATCCTTACACCTTAGTACTATGTAACTGAGTAGAAAAAAGATCTAGCTAGAAAGTGACTGGTCTTTCTGCCTATTAGGATCCCATTTAATTTTTGGTATCTACATTCACATATTCCCAGCCATACCCAGCATCAATAATTTAGTCATTTTAGGATCGTCATATGAACTATGAAAATTAAAAGTTAAAGAAATTAAAACTCATCATGTAGTTTTAAAATAATCATCACCACACATAGAGAGCCCCAAATCCCTTCTCTTTACTTACTATGTAAACAAGATGTCTGGGGACTGCACAATGCAATTCATATATATATATATTGAATATGTATATGTGTATGTACTCTTGTGTGGAGGTCAAAAGACAACTTATGGGGAGTTGGTTCTCTCCATCTACCTTTTGGGTCCCAGGGATAAAACGCATCGATCAGGCTTGGCAGCAAGCACCTTTTCCTGTAGAGCCATGTTGCCAGACCCTCAATCACATATTTTGAGTAATAACAACAACAACAGTGAAAGTATGTTTACTTTGCATACTATTTTAAAAGAAACTTTTCACATGTGTGATCTATTTTTATCCCAAAGCAGTATGGAAAATTTACTTACTTATTTATGTTCTAATTTTACAGATAAATTAACATAAGGTTCAGTAAGTAATGTGTGATACAGTGAAAAAAATGAGAGTTCATTCATCACAGAACCTTGTCTCTGTTTCAAATGAAACGCACAGATGCATCATTGATACTCTTTTTCTATACAGCTGCTTTGTATATACATATCTATGTATATATTTACATAAATAAATCTTTGAGAATTTTATACAGGTATACCAAGAACTATGATTAGTGGAGGAACTCACAAGGCCCCACCCCTAACTGAGAATCTGTTGTCAATTGATAGCTGTGGAAGGAGATTCATTCTTCTTTGGGGGTGAGGCCACTGGTAAGGTGGTCCATAATACCTTATATTTTAACAAAAAAAATAATGTAGATCTGTATTTACATCATTCCTGAATTAGGTTGTTTAATTTCATTACAGAAAGTTTCAAGATTTTATAGTAGAATTCCCATGTAAAACAGCATTATCATAACTGTAGAATATGATAAAAGAATAAAATGATGAGTAGTAATGATGATCAAGAAATCTGAAGAACACTATAACAGATGTGTCTGAAAGAAAGCACTAGATATTGGACAGATATTCATAATAAGTGTACTTGAAATACTAACATAATCATGAGTTGTAGCACTTAGTAAGTGCTTCAGAAACAGTATTCCATTTAATCTTCTCAACAATCAGTTGCCTCCTCTTTACTGTATTGTGCACGGTATACAGAAGAACGTGTGAAGGCTTTGTTTGAATGGTATACCCTCAATTACATTTAGCCAGTGAGAAAAACAGGGCTCAAAACAATATCTTTCTTCAACTCTGAGGCTATTGTTTATTACCTGCAAGCCAAGTGCCTCCTTATTGAATTATGTGGTTTTCAGTATCAGTGGATGCGGCTGTCCTGAACTGAGTCCTTGATAATGAATTTTACCAGAGAGTGGAGTGACTTTGCCCAACCAAGTCACCTTGAACAACTCATCATGTCATTTCAGAACCACAGCGGGGATTCTAAAGGATTTTCTCCAACTTCTATCTGCCATCACAGCATCAATTGCATGAACTATTTCTTCCTCTGTGTTAGGCATCTGCATATCAGAGAAGTTTCCTATACATAGCCAGTCATTATAAACCACTTGTAATATTTATGATCTTGCAAGTTTTGTTGCCTATTTCATTCCCTCTTAATACATTCATACTGTTTATTTTTGAAAAATCCAATTTAAAACATGAAAAAAGAAATTGTATAAGTAAAGATTCTGACCACAATTTATCCTTCCTAACCAAAGCCATAACATTTTGGGATTTTTCTCCTTCTGCAAACTTCTTAGTGTCTTAGGCATGCTATGTACTTAAAAACATTTATTTGTTATGCACATATATTTTAGGATGGAGGCCTAGAAGAACGGTTTTGTTTGCAAGCTGGGATGCAGAAGAATTTGGTCTCCTGGGTTCTACTGAATGGGCAGAGGTTAGTTGAGAGTTTGCTTCAATTTAAATTTTCCTACATAACACAATAGTTGGCACTTAATTGCCAAGGATATAAAAAACAGCAAGTAAGCCCAATCAGACAATGCTCAGGGTTTTTCCATAACATCTCACAGGTGTGTCCAACCTTTTGACATTGAAACACAAAGTTATATGCAGGAAGTTTGTACTTTATCTACAAATTCCTTTTTGGGAACTGCAGAATCAAGTTTACCAAAAAATAATTTAAAAAAGTCTTTTAACATTTAAGCAAGTTTACAAATGTATGTTGGCCTACATTCATAGCTACACTTGGTGATATGTGGCTCATGGTCCTCAGGTTGGGAAGGCCTGATTGTTCTAAAGCAAAACATTGTTCAAATGCCAATGAGAAAAAAATTTCACTTAAAAAACTAAATTTTTCTTGAATTTTTAGAAACAATGCCAATTATTGGGATTAATTTGTCTTTACTTTCTGATGGTATTTTTTTAAATACAAAATGGCTATTCGCTCTGGAAATCAAATATGAAACAACATTGAGTGTTTTATATTGTGATTCCAGTACACCTTCCAAAAATAGCTCCTGATGCTTGTTGCATTTGAACACATCAGGTTTCTACAGTAAGGTCCATTTTTACACTTATCTTCTTTATATCACAATGGCATACTCTCCAGTAAATAGTGCTGAGGTGAAGCAGAAAGTCACACCAGAAAAGTATGAGGCCCCCTGAGTAGTAATTTTATTTGACTGTATTATTGACTTTGTGTGATAGAGGAAGTAAATGTGCACCATTATTATCTATTCCGTTAATATCCTTCTTCGATCTTGTTATACTCTGGTTATTCAACTTTCTGTGAAATTCCGTTGTTCTAGGGAAGCTTTTAAAAGAATGTTTTATGTTGATATCAAGAAGAATCTGTAAGTGTTTTAAGGGAGTGATTTGTCTCTATAAAATTATCATTGTTATTGTTATTTTCTGTTTTTCAGCGGAGTCTCATTATGTAGCCCAGGATGGCCTGAATTTCCCTTAAGTGAAAGAGTTTCACACACTTTCCCAATTTTTATCTTACGATCAAAATGCTCAGGAAATGGAATGTTCAGGAGACTCAAAATGCATATTGTTACCTCAAATCACTTCGTTACACCTGTTTTTGTTAGTTCTAAACTTATGCAATCAACAGGTGGAATGATCCGGTGAGGGCTATTTGGGGTGCATATGTGAAACAGCGTCTACATATGAATATAGTTAAGATCTGTTATGTGAAATACACAGAAACTTAATAAAAATATAGTTAAAAAAATAAAAATATGCAATCAGCATTCACTACCAGTAGGTGGCAGCATTCTACAAGAGAACTTCACCCCTTGCTCAGGGCTATATGTGATTTAACCTCATAAGTGCACCAACTCTTCAATTGAAACACTCTGTGAGGCAAGAACATTTGATTAACAACATTTTTGAGAATATTTCTATTGAAAATTCTCCTAGATTACTTATAGAAATTATGAAGGATTGTGTACATGTCAAAACCTTAACTCATTCCATTTACCATAAGTATGTGAACATTTCATCTCGAATGTCATCTCAAATGCAGCTTAGAAAACTTTTGCATGTTGTTTTTCACTAGTAAACATTGATGAAACTTTTTAAAACTTTTTGAGAATCTTATATGCCAAACTTGAGGGAAACATCATCCATCTTAATTTAGAAATCTACATCCAAGAAAGGCAGGTATATCTTAGGGAGTTATATTTATATGTATAATTGAAAAATCTTTTGTTATAGGAAAATTCGAGACTCCTTCAAGAACGTGCTGTGGGCTATATCAATGCTGATTCTGCCATAGAAGGTAAATATTGTTTGACCCCTTAGAAAAATATTATTCTGGAAGTAGAACTTTAGTCAATGAATTACGTCCTAACAAAGAGGGCAGCCCATCAATAAGGGACTCTAAAGGCTGCAGCTTCTTTGCCACAGTGCTTCCTCTGAGTCTGAGTGGGATGTGGGTAATCAGGGTACCTTCTCCCCCATTCACTTAGTGATGTAGAGTGCTGATTCAGGAAAACACGCTTTAATTTGTTTCCTTTGTCAGATTCTCTTAAATTTGGCAGCAATTACCTATTGAATGAGAAAGTCATAGAACTGAGATGGCTTAACAAGTCATGACATTGCCACACAAGCCTGACAACCTGAGTTCTATCCCAGAATACATATAAACATGGGTAGAGTGGACCAATTTCTCAAAGTTGTCCTGTGAAATCTATAAATGTACCTAGGTACACACATCATCACAAACACATCACACATACACACACACACACACACACACACACACACACACACACTTAATGTAAACTTGCCATGTCAGGAATGGGAGCCTAGTGCCTTGATGGAGTCAGACTAATGTTTATATTTTCTTCTTTGTTTACGTTTCTGAGCTTCATTGTCTTAAAATTTGCCCTAACCAGTGCCTGTCAGTTTTCTTTCCTCCCCTCAGGTTAGTGGATTATGGCTTTGCCATTCACAACAGACCACCACCCTTTTCCTGTGTGACTCAGAGTGTTAGTTTTTTTATTTCTGAGTGTCCTTACCTCTAAATAGCACCTACCTCAAAAGCTCGGATCAGGGTAAATGGAGTTAACCTTGGCAAAGCTCCAAGCCTTCTTCCTTGAACAGATGAATATTCTTAGTCTCCAATATGATTCTTATTTTTATCTCTACTTAATCATAGATCAGAGAGCTGAGGGTAGAGCTCATTGATAGAGTGCTTGCCTAGCATGCCCAGGCCCCGAGTTAAATTTCTAGCACTCCAAAAAACAACAAAACCTAAAACAAATATGATCAGATGAAACATGTGTACCATACTGAGTAAGTACTTCAAATATACAATTCTCAAATAGAAATGGTGCTCTTATTTTATTTTTATTTAATTTTATTTTATGTGTATGAGTGTATTGCCTGCAAGTATGCAAGCGTGCCCCTGTGCCTTGTCATGAAATGCTTGCCAGAGGTCAGAAGAGGCCATTGGATCCCCTGGAACTGAAGTCACTGATGGGTGTTAACCACCTTGTGGGTGCTGGGATTTGAACCTGGGTCTTCTGCAAAAATAGCCAGTACTCTTAATTGCTGATCCATCTTTCCAGCTCCTTATTGCTACATTTCTTTAAATTAATTAATTTTAAATTTTTTAACGAGCTTTTGTACATTTCATACAACAGTTCTTAATCAAATTTAGACCTCCCCCCATCCATACCACCCCAACCCTCCACCAGACCGCATGTATTCCACTTTACATGGTAAGTCCTATCCAGTCAAACATTTATACCCAGATGTCCTTCAGTGAAAATTCATCCACTAGAGTCTAGTCAGCCCATCTAGAGATTGTATGTAAGGCATACTCTCCCTCACCCAGTAGTACTAAATCTCCTGTAGTTCTCAGTCTAGCCCTGCCTTTAAGATTTGATCTTTTCATGTGTGCATTTTAAAACTTCTCTAGGTTTAGTTAATTCTGTCACTATCTGGAATTGGGTTGTTGTATCTTCATAATTTTTAGGACAAGGTACAGTATGATTGAGATACCACATCTCTCATTTTATATTGTATTTTTGTTAAATATTAATTTCTTAAAGGATATAACAAATCACGTATTTTTGAATTCATGTTAAAATGCAAAATTTACACAGAAAACAAAATTCTATACCCAAACCACTCAAATTTAATCTCTTGTCAAAGGACTAGCAGTCCACAGATTACAGTGCTTCTCTCATGGAGACTCTCAGACTACTTAGCTGACACGCAGCCCCAGACAAGTTGCAGATGTTATTTGCAGCTGTGTAAAAGCCATGGAAAACTTAAGTACAAACCCTCATGTGATGTAAGTATTTATATTATGTCTATTGTACTGCAGAGGAAGCTGTGACTCAGAACTTCCATCAGTTTCCCCAGCCCACAGGGCTAGGGAAGGGCTGAGTTTGTATTCCGGTTGCTCCTTCAGCTTCATCCTCCTATTATGCTCTTTTGCCTCCTGTTCCCTACTACAGGACTTTGGTGTTGTATTACAGCTAAGTGATTCTAGACTTGCCTTTTCAGTGAGCAAAACTATAGTATGCAACTTTCCCTATGATGAATGCATGCTGATTTACTTTACTTATATTACAAAACACACCAAAGAAAGCAGCAGTAATAAATGCAACAGAAGAACTTCTATAGTGTATTCAATAGAACAATTGTATGATTAGCCCTGTAGCTGATAGTCAGATTGGCTGTTGGCCATAGTAAATATTCTTTTACTGGCATGATTTTTTCTATTTTGAAGTATGAAGAGTGTAGACAACTACAAAGGTAATATTTTGGTCCCAGGATACATGCATTTAAACTGTAATAAATTCTATTAAACCATGGTTCTCCAATTTATACTCATGAGTATTTTTATTTCAAACATTATATTTTGCTACATTTACATATTTATAGTTGAATTTTTTTTCTTTTGAGATGGAGGTCTCATTGTGTACTCAAGCATCGTGTAGAACTTGTAAGCCTCCTGCCTCAACCTTCTGAGGGCTGGGATTATAAACCTGCACCACCACACCTGTGTTGTTTCAGAACTTTTCTTGCTTCATGCACTGTCCTTCTGGGTTGTCACTATTCATTTTAAACCCCCAGTCTTTGCTGAAATGGAGCCTTTGCTTCTAGGATAGAAGCTACATGTGTTCCATAGAGGGCATCCTGCACTGCTACATTTCTGTAAGTCTGTGTTCAAGCCTTGCTCTTTGTGACGAATGTTATTTATTTTTGGCCCAGCTGTCTTCTTCTGCTCTATAACTCTTATTGGAGACTCATCCTCTGGTTGAAGTTGCCTTAACTGCCTGTCCCATATTCTCCCCAGGTCATCTGCCCATTACCCATCCTCCCCAGGATAGCTCCCAACCCTGATTTCTCAGGGCTTCCCAAGAGCCCCTCTGCTGGCTGCTTCTCTTGACTCTCCTAGTAACTCTGAGCTCTTGCAGTGTGAGGACCACAACTCTTGTTCCTTGCCAAGCCAGTAAAAAAGCACAATAAGTTTACAAGCCCATTTTCACAGCGATATTTATTAGGGGAAATGCTAAATGTCAAAATGTTTCTAGACACTGTGAATAAAGCAGCAAGTTAGAGAAGCACCTGCTCCCATGGAACTTACTCTCTACTGGGGAGGAAGTTAACAAAAGACCATAGAGAAGCAGAGGCTTTTGAGCTACTGGAGATTTGCACATATGAACTTATGGCAATGGTGGCATTTAGCACAAGACCCATGCCAACTCAGTAAGACAAAGGTCCACAGGAGAGCGAGGGAAATGGGTGGCAGGTGGGCCCTAGTCTTGGAACTATTGGAGACTGATCACTACTGGGTGAGGGATAGTAGGTTATACCAACAAACTCTAGATAGACTGACTAGACTCCAGTGGATGAATTTGAACTGAAAGAAATCTGGGTACAAATGCCTCACTGGATAGGACTTAATATGTATAGCAGAATACATGCAGTCTGGGGCGGGGGGTGTGGGAGGGTATGGATGGGGGAAGGGTTCTAAATTTGAGTAAGGACTGTTGTATGAAATGCAAAAGAGCTCAATAAAAAATTTAAAGACCCATACAGTCAATACACAGGGAATGAGTGATGTGGCGAGAAACAGAAAAGAACAAGAGAGGATGAAAGCAGGTAGAATAAGGGGGAAAGAAAGTGCAGGGTTGGTGGAGTCAGGGACGTCACTCAGAAAATGTAAAACGAATCCAGAGGGTGAAGAGATCATGTAGATATAATGTAGAACACTGATCGAGGCTAAGACCCTAAGGCACAGTTCAGGGGCAGAGTGAGAGGTTAGGATTTGGAGGCAGTCCTACTGCTGAACTACATCTCAAGTCCCAGGGCTAGTTTCACTGTCAAATATGTGAATTTTATAGTATAAGATGGAGGGCATTGGAGATTTCATTAAAGTGAACATTATAAAGGATCATTCTCTCCAGAGATAGCAACAGTCTTTGAGTAAAAAGAATACCAGAAATAAATAAAACAAATAAACCAGTCTATCCTTTCCTTATATTTCAGGAAACTACACCCTAAGAGTTGACTGCACACCACTCTTCTACAGCTTGGTATACAACCTAACAAAGGAGGTAAAAATACTAACATAACAAAGGAGTAAAATACTAACAAAGTTAAAGGAACTCTGAATTCTGCAAATGATGTTTTCTTGCGGTGACATTATTATGTTATGTTGATGTTATTTACAGCTAGCTTTCTTTTCATATGACAAAAAATCCATTTCATTAACCTTTACAACTAACAAATTCTTTTTTTAGTTTTCAAAATAACTTTATTTCTTTATAAAACAGACCTTAATAATCAATGCATGTTTACATTTTAAAATATTAACAAATTTAGTGAAAAAGAATTCAATACACACTATAAATAGCCTATCATTTATGAAGTCAGATCTATACAAACAATAGAAATAAATACCTAAATAACAATTATAAATAGGTACTATATTTTTTTTAGAATAACAAAAAAATTTTACTAAAATGTAAGATTTACAGAAGTTTCCAGACAAGCCATACAAAATGGTCACAAGCTTTTTTTTTTTTTTTTTAATGGGGGGAGAGGATCTACACTTGACAGCAAAGTCACAATGTTACTAGTGAGGGCTATGATGTTTATTTAATGTTCCCATTTTGGTTTAAACAATCAAGCTTGTTCATCTACATAGTCTAAATAAAGTTAGACTTGGCTAGAGAGAATATTCTAAAGAACTGGTTAGCTGCATTTAACCACTGTGATTAGATCCCACAAAAAGTGAGGGGGGGGATAAAATTAGATAAGACTACTTTCCCCCTAAAACATAAATAAAAACACCCATACCCCTGCAGCTAACCCCCACAGCTACCTTCATTCACAGTGCTTTATACTTAAACCATGATGGAGAAATGAGAAAAAGCAGGGACACTGCTTTTCAACACCTCACAATAATCCAGATGACGCTTCTAGCCTCTGCTCATGCTTTACAACAGTGGATCTGGACAAGACATAGATTTGCTAATGTGCATTTAATCACCAAAGATGAAGACGCGTGGGCTTTTATTCTGTAATGTTTCTAAAACTGTGTCCATTAATGCAAACAAAAAGGAAGAAGTCTTGGCAGAACAGAAGTGACACACACCTGATGATCAGATCGACTTAAATATTATTCATGGTGTGTAGCCTGGTCCATGCTCTCGCTGTTTCTATGGCTTGGGCTTCGTTGGCCTTCCACTGCTCAGCTACATCATTTGCTAATGGATCATCTGGATTAGGAGCACGTAACAAAGCCTGGATTGATAGCAGAACTGTGTCGATCTGCAGTGCTGGGGACCACTTATCTTTCAAAATATCTAAGCATATTCTTCCCAGCTTGTCTACATTAGAGTGATAAATTTTGGTCATGAAACGTAGGTGCTGCCATTGGGTATTCTTCTGGAAGAAATAGTTCAAGTTTAAAAGTCCCTCCCTCAAAGGGGGAGTCCTGGGGGCCAGCAATAACCACAGGAAAATAGCCGGCGTTGCCCTCATCTGGTTCTGCCTTAATGACAGGAACTGGATCTGCCAGCAAACGCTGAGTTTCAGCATAAATTGTGAGAGCAGAGTAAAATTCAAATCAATCAAGTCCCAGACACCAGCAAGTGAAATTCTGACATCCACAGAAGTTGGTATCAGCTTGTTCCCCTGAGGATCCTGCCGGGCAGCCCCGCCATCTTGTCAGATCCCGAGTTCAGCCTCTCATAGGTACTATATTTTAAATGGGAATCTACAGAGGTTTTGACTTAAGGATTTTTATACAGAGTAGACAAAATTACAAGTCATCCCAAACTTGCAGGACATTTTCTATTAGGTGGACCCCTAATCTCAGTAACATTTATAGATGAAGTATAAAGTTACTATCATACATTTTAAATTATATTTACTTAAGAGACAGGATTTCATTGGCCTAGAGTGGCCTCCTACTGACCATGAAGCCCAGGATGATCTTGGCCTTCTGCTCCTCCTGCCTCCACCTCCCAGTTGCTGGGATAATGGATGCAGGACACACCTGGTTTAGTGTGGTACTGAACCCAAGGCTTCCTGCATGCCAGGCAGGCACTCTACCAAGTGACCTATAGCCCAGCCCGCTGGTGTATTTTTAATTAATT